TGTCTTCCTAGTGAAAGGTAATTGTTTTGCAACTTCCATTTCCACAGTAAATTTGATTATAGGGTGTTATCACATAACGCATAATATAACATAACCACATAACGCAGCCATAGCTTTGGTTTCCACGGAGTCTTCCTTAACGCTTCTTCCTCAAACATCTCCATGTAGAAATTGGCGATTACCGGTGACACACGAGAGGCTGCCCCTTGGAACTTTTCCTTCCAGCTCAAATATGTAGATATTAAACAACACTCCACTAGCTCTGGAACATACTTCCGTAAGCCCTCTGAAATGAGTTTTTGGCGAAGACCATCCACGGCATCTTTGACTGGTACTTTGGTAAATAGAAATTCTGGAAATCTAACTTTATACTTTTGATTGATCCCATAAAATGCGTAGAATGTTCAACATATGATTGTATTTTTCCTCTAAAAGAAGACAGAACCTTGAGGTGTTCCGCTAGCGGATACGTTGGATAATTTATTGCACTGACAATAGATATGTAGTAAGACATCCGGTTTATGGATGTTCTGCTGGAATTTCTGCAGATTTCACCAATTCTTTCATTTTTCTTATGATCGTCTCGGTTGAGTACTTCTTGACTTTCTTATAGGTGACTAGATCCAAAAAGCTCCTCATCTTGTCGTCGTATTCTTTCCTGTCCATGACCATGGTGGCAATCCCTGTTTTTTTCTCTGAGCGTCCCTTCTTTCATTGACTATTTCATTCATATCGTTAACAGCCAATAAGAATTCGCGGTTTTTCGTCAATTGCGAGTATTTCAGCGGTTATTTGGCCGTAACCATGGAGAACGATAATACGAACCTTTGTATTATCGCTGTAATACGAACCTTTGTATTATCGCTTGTTTGACTTTTAATTAATTTCGAGACATCCATGCATGTTTCCATAACAATCAATGTAATTTATTAAAAAAATATTAAAATTCTAAAAATATGTATATTTTTTATTCATGAAATAGTCTAACCATATACAACACGACAATCGAAAATACTCGAATCTCGATGTATTGCCTTAAAAAACACCACTCGACCTTCGGTCTCGTGGTGTTTCAAGCAATACGTCTCGTATTATCGAGTATTTTCGATCGTCTTGTTGTATAATATATGATTATTGGATTTGATTTGACTTTACGGACACACTGTATTTCCTTGAATGTTAGTTTCTACTATTAGTGCATAAAGCAATTTTATGAATGATATCTTTTTTATCTCATCTCGATAACAAAGATGAACTCCTTATGTGGGTCAAGAATCGAGCGAAATGGTTGTTTCGCAATTTGAACACGTGAAATTTATGCAGCATTTCATCAAGCACAGCCACTCCTCGAAAGCTTTATAGACACTTCAATACAATTTACATGGCTGTTGCAAATGACGTGATGACGCTCTCTTTCACGGGCATTGCATTCGTCTGACGTGTCAGTGATGTACTTACTTATACGATTATTTGCCCATCGCATGGATACGTCACACGATACGCAATTCGTTACTCTTTGCGTTGATACACCAAATGCAGATGCTTTCGCTATTGAATATGAGGAAGAATAGCTGCGCCGGTTTTAACATCAATACAAAATGATGCCGTTCTTAAGGATCAAGAAGAAAAGCTAGTAGCTTCAAAAAATAAAACGAAAGTCGGCGCTGTAAATAAGATGTGAATAAGTCAGCAAAACCAACTAAAAAGCGTCGTCATCAAGTGATGAAAACAGTGTTGATTGTATAACTTAGAAAAAAGTAGGCAGCAAAAACTGTGTTAAGTACCATACAACTAAGCCGTTCACGCAAAATGGTCGAATCATTGAAAGACGAAATGAAATGTAGGGATATTCGGCACATGCTTGCCATATTTATTTTCTATACCATTCTTTTTCGTTGCACTTATTAAATTTACTGACTTGACTTTTATTTGGTAAGAATGAGCTGATCTAGTTTTCAAGAGTCATCGCCGACATGTATAATAATAACTATTCAATTAGTGCGTAGTTAGGCACCTGTGTATAATACTTTAACAGCACCTATGAAAACTCTTGTTGTGGGTTATGCTAAGACTAAACAATCTTAGATGTTTCTTGGCGTCTCAGAGCCCCAAATCTCTTGGCGCCTGTATGCACCGCACACATTACACACGTGGATGGCGCGACCACGTGGCCGTATGCGAGTTACAATCAAAAGAAAAACATTGTGGTAACTAGTTTCACTTTGTCGAATTAGGAAATTATAAGTTTGAGTACCAACTCATGCGAAAGTAATAATCATTTATTAACCGCCCTTAATGTTCATCTTTCCTTCATCACTACTATTGGAGTAGTCTTTCAAGCTACGATTTTCCTTTATTTTTGACTTTTGTGACTGTGTGAACATTCTAACACTATTTGTAGCGCTTCTAGTGTTTTGAGTCTTTACAAATTGGAGAAGCATTGAGAGACATTAAAGTATAGAAGAGAGTCAAATTCAATTCGATCAAAAAAAAGTGTTGCAAAATACTAAAAATACTTCATATTGAACACATTGTATTAATCAAAACCAAATTTTCAGCAACCTTTTACATTCACAAATATAACAATTTATTATTTATGCAAGTAAATAGCCACCGACAATTGTGAGCGAACCCAGACTGTCAGAGATTCTCACAGAATGAATTAAATATTTAAAAGTGCTTGGAATGTTTGGGATTATAACACTATCGAATGAGGTGATTAAAAATATGATTGGTATTCAAAATAAAAACACTTATAAGCCATTCAGCAAGTTTTTATTTTTGACATTATATAGACAAGTACTTGATAAACCACATTATCGCGCAAGACATGGGAAGATCCAGACGTGTTTTTCAAGTGTGCCTGCACCATTTTGTGCGTCGATCCCTTTATATAAATAAGGGGACCTGAAATAACGGGCCAGACTAGACTATTGCGTTCTTTTTTTCTTCACCCTTATTTTCTTTTTAATCATTCATTCATATTTCATAACTATTTTTTAGACAATTTTATTTTGAACGGCAGATCACTTCGTTAGGCCTTGGTAGTTTTTTTTTTCATTACTAGCATTTTTACTCAACTTTAATAATTTTTTTTTTTTGATGTTTGCTTCGGTACGTTTTTATCTATTAATCTCAGATTGTTTTATTTAACTTTTTTTATTTATTTCTTTTTAAATTGAACGTTATTTTTTATTTTCATTTTTTTTTTGCGTGTAAGGTCAATAACTATGGCAATTATAGTATGTAGAGAACACATACGTAGTACGTAACGATAAATTGTAAAAGTAAGTAGTGCATTTTTTTATTGAAGGTCATTTTATTTTATTTATTTATTTTTTTCGAGAGAGAACGACGATTAAGTTAGGTTTATAAGATGAGGGATATACTGGCTTATTTATTTTTTTTAAATCTTTTCTTAATGTCGGAAACGGTTGATGGTAGATGATAATGATGATGAATTCTTTATTTACTTTTTTTAAATAACGTTTTAACAATAGCATCAAAGAATAAACTTGTCTAATTTTTAATTATTAATTATTTTTTTTTGTAAATTCTTTTTTCTAATTTGTTTTTAAATCCCAGTATCACTTCTGATATGATCTAATTAATTTTTATTTTTAAATTGACTCGTTATTTTTAATATGAAACTTTCTACTACATTCAAAAATTGTTCCACAAGTTTTTATAAACACAAAATCATAGTTTACCTAAGCCAAGCATTTTATTCTTGGCCCCGATTTTCTTTTGCAATGTGCAAAAATTTTGCTATCGTTAAAACGTTACGATCTCAAAGAACAATTTAAGCACCAATTACCATCAATACTTATACATATAACAATGGAACATTACAGTAAAATGATCTACGCACAAACTTTTTTTTTATTTTCATCGAATCGCATAAACCTTTTAAAAACAGTAACATTTAATTGATATATTTTTGGGGGTAGGGAAGGGTGGGTTGATATTGATACATTTCTTTTTTTAAGGGAATTTTTAGGGAGAGCAATAAGAATTAATTTAATTTATAGTAGAGAGTAAGGTAATAGTTTTTTTTTAATGTAAGTCGATAGAGAGATATCTCGGTCTCAATAAGTCATGATAAATGTGTGTATTGTTATGTTTCTTTCTTCATATAAAGATGTTCCAGATAATTATACAATATGAGAAACTTGAAAACGGTAAAAATAATTTAAAACCTAAAAACACATTTTATGTATTGTTATCATTCCAAAACCTTTAAGATTACTGCCACTTAAAAATAAACATTAAGAATTTGTTCTGCATTGTCTAAGACATGAATTTGTTAGACAAATTTTACAGGAAGATGGTAAAATTGTCATTTCAAAGCATGTCATATTCTCGTTGGTTAAATTTTGAGATGCATTTGTTTTAAGTATGATCTCAATGGTGTTGGTGGTGATGATTTGTTCAAACTGATTGTAGGGTGTAGCGAGTAGTCCCTCCTCTACAATCCCGGTAGAGGACAGATCTACTTCAAAGATGTGTTCCTGCCAACGCGAGCCTTGATTCTCTCCCACCTCCCAATACATGGAGGGAATTATATCTCAAATCTCACCCCATTCACAACCCCAACCCTAGTACTCCTTCCCAATCCTTTCTATCTTCCCACCCGCTTGAACCACGCTCATCCAGCGTGGAAGGTTATGGCCAATAAACCTTTGTAAATATGGTGAGGTTTAACACTATCAGAATGGGTCCCCAGGTGGGTGGAACATTCAGTGTTAAATCTAATATCCTGAAGAGCGTTTGCTTCGTGCAGTCTGGGGGAGGCAAAAATTCGCAAAGAACACAAAAATCGAAACATAGCGAAACTCAAACTCACAACATCCACATAGAATTAACCTTTTGGAAACCACTATAAACTAGAAGAGATGCAGAAAGACCATAAAAGAGGTGGATAAATGATGGGAAAAGTGTGGCCGGGAAAGAATAGATAAGAACAGCAAAAGACAGAAATAGATGGAGACATTTGGAAAACGTCTATGTCCCGCAATGGATGATACAGGCTGAGGAAGAGAAAAGAGATATACATATTTGTTATTGGATAACTACGACCATCACAGACATAAGAATGAAATAGGTTAAAGTTTTGTGGGCGTATTATTTAATTCCAAGAAGTCTTCCTGACATGTGTAAGCTGTTTTTATAAAAGTGAAACATAAAGATATGAAAAAATGAAAAATAATTGAATTTTATTGTAAAGCTACAGTTCAAATTTGTGATGATTACAAATGATATCATATCCATTCAATATTCAACAAGACGTATTGGATTGCCGCAAGCAACCTAGGCTTAATCCCATACAATTATTATATTCTTAGTTAATTAAGCCGAGATCACTTGCGGTCGAAGCTTACCAGTATGTATTGATGTATCAATAATTGTAGCGCATCAGACGGAAGCGACCTTGGCTTAATTTAGAACGGATGATGCATGATTTGTTCTTATTAAGCTGAAATCGCCTGCGGCTAAAACACTTCAAATGATATATCCATAACACATTGAACAACAAGTATTGGAGTGCCTCGGCTTCATTAATTAAGACTATAATCTCACGGGATTAAGCCGAGATCACTTGCGGCCGAGGCTTATCAGTATGTATTCAAAATGATACAGTAGAAGTTCGTTGTAATGTTTGTCTCAGTGGTCTTGGAGATAGATAGTATCAGAGCCGTCTACTTCTGAATTTACAGCGAGACAATATTACTGATTAAACGAAATTGAAAACACCTTATTGACCAACGACATGTATGCAAACATTGCTGTACTATTAGCTTGGACGATATATGTTCAAGAACCCGTCTAAATTTAAAGAGTAAAAAGTTTAGGTAGATCTGAAAATTTGAAATACAACTATAGACGTATTTAATTTAACATTTGTTAATAAATTTTCGTAGGTGCTGTAACTTTAGAATATATATATATACTCAACAAGCCCGCCAAAAATCTATTAAAGATAATGGTAGTAACAAATTCTCTCAATGGCAAAATAATTGTGATGGAACAACTTAAACTGATGAAGAAAGAATAAAAACGAAATACCAAAAGAATTTGTACCAAAAGACCTGGAGCAGGTGATTTAACACTATTATTGTGCAATATTATTTTGGTGCAAAATAAATTTAGAAGTGTTTGTAGATCAAAAATTTAGTTCAATATTTGCACTTTATTCATTAACCATTGTTATTACAATTTACATCATCATCTGTTCTAAGCGAGAGAATTTTTTATTGGTTTATGAGTAAAATGCATACTCTGCATTTTTACATCATCCTAAGTACGAGATACTCCTGACGCTAGTGATACTTGATAATACTCGATGGTACTTGAGTCTACTTGATTCTTTCATATAGTAGAGAACAGTTTAGATTTGATATTGGATTGATTGCTTACTTTTATAATTGCTTTCTAATGAAAAGTGTAATTATAGCGTTGGCAAATACGTTACAGTATTACTGATGTCTTATTAATTTTATCGATGCATCCCAATAACTCGATTAGAAATGAGATGTCAAAAATCATAAATTTTTATAACAAAAAGAGCAGGAATGGATGTTAATGATCAGAAATGTTTCTGCTTTAATGTTGCAAGAAGAACCAGACGCTGCCTACAGGCAATGGTTTCGTTTAATAGATATGGCAAAAGACAACAACGCAATTCACGATGGTATACTTAAAAGTAAAAAAATTGAGGAACTTTTCTAACCTCCTCTCCTTAGGTTGAGCTATCTTATATAAGCTCACTGAACAGAAAATGAAGCTTCATTTGTAATTAAAGTTGACATCATTGCAAAAATTGTTTGCACATCAATCAAAATATTATTAGATATTAAGAATTTTTATTATTCCTTAGAAGATTGAGAAAATCTCGCGAAAGTTAGATCACTTATGGTCATGGTATATGATTAACACAAGAGAATGGAAAATGTGGATAAATTAGCACTTACTCAAGTTCTTAGGGGTCATCAAGTGCTGATTTTGAGGATAAACAAAGCATATATGAATTTGGAGATTTGAAAATGTTTTATTGGTGCAAATTTGATGTTTATCTTGGAAAGGCTGATAAACTCGTGAAAAGAACTAGAATAACGAGTAAAAATCAGCTAGAGACGACCAAAATTCCTAAATGGGAAACTCAAAATCTATCATAAATAAGCGAAAAACTTCTTGATTCAAAAATAACACGTACTATTATATTACATAATCAAATAAGCCAAGCATATTAAGTAAACGACAAACTATAAAACGATTAATGATACAGCACTAATAAAAATTATATTGTATTATTGTTCATCAATACGAATAAATTCATTAATATTTTACGTAAAAACTTTTTTATTTCCTCCTTAAAACAAATAATCTCAGTAATCTTAAAGTTAAAGCGTGATTCAAAGAGTAAATAATTAATTCTCAAACCTATTATCTTCTATATTGGGGTTTTAGTTGCACCTAGCCATCATTAGAAGATGTGTTGAATTAGAAATGAGATTTCTAGTTATAGGGATTTATAAAATATTCACTGCAAATAAAAGAAAACAAAATTTGCATAACTTAATATTGTTAGAGTAGTCTTTTCATATTTAATGATTCAATTTATTATGCCACAAGTATTTTATAAACCTTAACTTCTCCTGGTGATGATTGGCTACAGTCAAAATAGGGCAGAAAGTTCCTTTGTTAATGTCAAGATTAAAAAATCACTCGTTTTGGGTCACCAAAGATTCTTAAAGCTTTCGATTATTCTCTTAATTTCATTTTGTCAATTTTCAAAATATTTGAAGATTATGAGATGATTTCAATACATAAAAGATTATTTTTCTTACCATTGCCAAGTTTTCTGTGTTAAGTCGATTATCTGGGACACTTTATATGTGGTGGTAATAATGATGATGAAAACTGAAAACTTAAGTAATTATTCTTGTTTTTCTTTTAAATTATTTTACAATAATATTACTAACTAAATTTTTATTCTATTATCATTTTAAAATTAATTTAAAAACGATTAAATATACTGTTACTAATAAAATCTATGCGAGGGTGAGCATAAAAATTCCGTCGATCTGGAAATTCTATAAAAAAGAAAACCAACAAAATAAATCGGAAACGATTTCTTTTTCTTCTCATTTTCTCTCTTGATTTTATAATAACAATGAGGGTATTTGTTGGGTCCAAAATGTAGTAAGGGAGTTTGGACCGCTATCATCACACACGATAAAAGTTGAGACAGACCGAACTTAAAATGATAAAAAGTACTTAGATAATCGAGAAGAGTCACTTTCTTGATGGGGAACCAAACTGGTTTTTGCTGCTACTGCGCCTGTGGATCACACTGTAGTAGGCGGACGATCGAAGGGTCGCTTTTTGCACCTTCTATAAACTCTTCCAAGCTTAATTTTCCGTCTTTATTGCGGTCCATTTGCCGGAAGATTTTATCGGTACGTTTTTCTGGAGTGCTTTCATCTTCTGGCATTTTCATCACAGAACCAACCATTTTGTAAATGGCCTAGAAAAAATATTAAACATAACACTTAAGTTTTGAAAATCGAACACAATATTTTTACCGTGACTATTTCTAACATTTCTTGTCGGGAAATGTAACCGTTTCCATCTAGGTCGTACATAGAGAAGGCCCACTTGAGTTTTTGCTCGAGTTTCCCCCTTGACGTGACGGAAAGTGCGCACAGAAATTCTCGAAAATCTATGGTTCCATCTCCGTTGGCATCGAAAGTACGAAACACGTGTTCCGCAAATTTACTCGCGTCTCCATACGGGAAAAAATTTCCATAGATCTTCTTAAATTCTTCCACTGACAAATGCCCACTCGGACAATCTTTTAGAAAACCTTTATACCATTCTTGAATTTCCGCATCTAAATAAAAAAATAACGTTTCATTCTGTAAAAAAAAACTGTTGCATTTTCATGAATTACTCAAAAAATGTTTCCAAGGCATCAGCTTCGTAAAATGTAAATTGCCTTAATACAGGGTTTCGGGTAAATATGGTAATGAAGGTAGAAGCTAGAAAACCGAGCACAAACCATCAACCTCAATAACAACATTGTGTATGGGGTAACAGAAACGACCTTTTATAATGAGTTTATATGGAAATTTTGACCTCTTGCTATAATACGAAATTATGTTTACACGCCCAGATGTGATAAACTATCGATTATTTAAAATTTCGGGTTTTCTTTTTTTACTGAAGTAAAGAATTTTGAACGGAAGACGTGTTAGGCAAAAGCGAAAAATGTAATCGTTAATGAAGAGTCCCGCTTTAAAACTACTTAATGTCTCAGAATACAAAATCATTGTTTCTTTCTTTTTTTTATACCAGTAAATAATTATTATCTAAGTAAATATATAAACCTTTAAAAGTTGAATAAGGTCGCAGGTTATATCAAGGTATGTGAATAAATAATTTAATGAATTTTGCATTAAGGGTGAAATCGTGTCGAAATATTGGGCCAAAAAGCTTCCATATACGTCACAGCATTTTTAGCTAGTTAATATAGTATTTGTAAGAAATATAATTCTATAAGACATTGCAACACTCCAACCGTACAGAAAGTGCAGAAAAATAAATTTTCATGAATAACGAACAACTGGATTCGAATTCGCCAAACCACAATTAAACTCTCACCTTAATTAAGACCATTAAATAGATACCTTACACGAGATACACACATTTCAAATACAGTACTGAAACTACTTTGTGACATTGCTATGTAAATAATATTTGCATATTGAGGTTATGAAGTATTATTTTGGGGAGGGAGATGGTTACGGTCAAGATGTAACTTAATGTCTTTTGGATATAATAAGTGTTAAAGGTCTCAATCGCATAACCTCGCCGACAAGCGATTTCTATTGTATTCTTTTCATCCTTAAAGATAAAACGTCACAACCTTACTATGCAAATAATTATTGTACATCTAGATTACAAAGATTAATTTCAATTCAGCCAAAAACATATCTTACCATCTAAACAGTTAAATATAAAATGTGGTGAGTAGTAAAAGTCTCAATTGAAAATGTAGGAAATGCAGTTTTGAAGATGATTTCAATAGCACGGGAAATAAGCAGGCTTATTTCCCGCAGATAACACAACTGAGTTTTCAAATAACATTGTTAATAGTCTAAAGAATTCTAGTCTTCATCAAAGATAGTATGTCTAGCCCATGACAAACTGCATCAATATCAAAGCCAATAAACTATTTAAAAGTTAATCAAGACCCAGCGTTTAATGTTTTTATTTCATGTATTTATCACGTATACAATTACTTTTCAGCATGGAAACTGCTTGCCCTTGTGTTGGATCACATGGTGTTGACAAGATGAAAGGACAAGGTATAGCTGAAGCGACAGAGGTCTGACACATCTACGAAACCCTCTTTGAAGGATTTGAAGAGGTTGAACCAGTATTTGTACAGGATAGATCGAGTAGTAAAGGACCAAAACCAGGCTTTAATGGCGTGTTGGTATCACACCTCAAGGTTCTAAGTATTAAACCAACGATTAAACTTAGGAAGAAGCCGATCAAACTAAGAATGTGCTATAACGTATGAATAAATATATAATATATAAATTAATCTTCTGATGGTATCTCATTGGTGTGGCTGAAGGGAACAGCACCGTTATTTATATAAAATCGAAAATTTTTGTTACAACTGGTTTATTTTTAAGTTTAAGTTCAACCTGACATGTTTCGGTCAAATGACCATCATCGGAGGTATCGTAAAAGGATTTATGAGAAACAACATACAATAAAATAGAGCAACTGCTGGCAGATGTGTGTGGAAGTATTCTTTGTAGATAATATCAAGATAACCGGGAGCCACGTTAATGCACAATGCATCCTAACCTTCAACTTTAACGTGTGTTACTGCTGGATGTCAAAATAGTTATCAATAGCCTTCTAGCCTTGACGGATACCTTCCATCAATTTAAGCTTCGTGAGGAGACTACAGGTGGGTTTAAGTATTAAATAGTTCGAGTAAAATTTATAGAAGAATACTGGTATAGATAAGTTCTAATCAGCGCTATTTTGGGTGTCTGAGCGATATAAAATTAACTCAGCTCTAAATGAACTGTGATAAATTGTAATAACTTCTTATAAAAATGCCTACACACTCTAATTGGAAGCTGAATCAACCGTTGGTGGTGTATTGACATCACCAACCTTAATCTTAAAAGTGGTTAGAGCAGCCTTTAAGACAGCTAAAATCTTCTTGAAAGATTACATTTTTTAATAAATGTACAATTTTTANGATTAAACTTAGGAAGAAGCCGATCAAACTAAGACTGTGCTATAACGTATGAGCACTATTAATCTTCTGATGGTATCTCATTGGTGTGACTGAAGGGAACAGCACCGTTATTTATGTCTATAGAGGGCGGATTGCAGAGCGGCATGTCCTTGGCAAAGAAAATGTAATTGGTATCTTAGTAGAGCAAACGTGTCAATCAGATACTGAAAATTCCTACTTTCCCTCGTACGAGAACATGATGGAAAGTTGTGGTCGTGTCTTCTTAAATATCAATATCAGCCCATGTGGGCATAGTCAAGGATCGTGAAATAGATGACATAGTGGCTGTAGAGGAAGAATTGGCAGTGTCTACCTGGTGAGATGATTCCGACCATAACAGAAGACAAGGTGTTTCTTCTCAATCTCTATACCAACTCAAACACGCCAACTTAATCGGTGGTTTTGCACAAATTCATTTTAGACAAACGCCCCCCGAGAATCCATTCATCTATGATTAATGCCGCAGTAACATGCAGGATTCAAATGTAGAATTAATGGTAATTTAATGCAACCGAAAAAACAGAACGGTTATTAACATGCCTAGATAAGTGAATATAAATATATACAGGGTGTATCTGAATGACGTGCCCAAACTTCAGGGGGTGATTCTTTAGGCAATTTTAAGGGTACTTTCTTATATAAACTATGTGCGATTTCGACTCCCCTGCGGAGCTACGCCCCTTCAAAAATGGCGAAAAATTTTGGTTTATTATTTTTTTCCCGAAAACCATAAACACCAGGAAAATGAAATTTGGGAAATAAGTTTAGCTTATAATAGGGCATGTTTCGAGCCTATTTGTACTTTCAATCTTCTCTTCTAAGTTACTAAACATAACCACCCCCGTTCAATTTTAGTCTAGATTTTTTTTATGACGGTGACAAATACATTGGAAATATTTTATTTAGATAGATGAAAATATTCTAAAACGTTTTTGCCTCTCTGATGTTTTTCGAAACGTTAATAATTTCTGAGAAAAAAATTAATTAAGCAAACACTAACTGTTAAGCTGTAGCGTTGTTAATCAAAAGTTGGAATGAATTATGATTGAAAAAATCTTAGTAGGCTTTGCAATATTTGTCAGAAATATTTTTGACGTTTAATTGTCAGTGCTTTTCTTACTATTATTATTGTTTTATTTAAAATTTTGAAACGTCGAGTGAACGAGCGTAAATGCAGTAGAACTTTATTCAAAAATTAATTTAAAAACAATAATAATAGTAAGAAAAACACTGATATTTAAATGTCAAAAATATTTTTGACAAAGATTGCAAAGATTACTAAGATTTTTTCATTAAAAATTCATTCCAACTTTTGATAGTCAACCCCGTTATTTAACGGGCAGTGTTTGCTTTATTATTTTTTTTCTCAAAAATTAGTCGTTTTTGGAAAAATTTTAGAGAGACAAAAAAGTTTTAGGATACTTTCATCTACCTATGCAATTTTTTTTTAATGTATTTACCATCTGCATAAAAAAATGTTAGCAAAAATGTAAAGGGGGTGGTTACGTTTAGTACTTTGGAAGGATAGCTTCAAAGTACAAATAGGCTGAAAACGTGCCCTACTATGAGTTAAACATATTCCCCAAATTTCGTTTTCCTAGCGTTTATGGTTTTTGAGATAAAGAAATTTTACCAAAATTTTCCGCCATTTTTGGAGGGGTGTAGCTCCTTAGGAGAGTCCAAGTCGCCCTTGATTCATATATCAAAGTACCCTTAAAATTACCTAAAGAATCACCCCCTGAAGTTTGGGCACGTCATTCAGATACACCTGTATAAATTATAAATAATAAAAATCGTTGCACCGTCAATCAAGCTATATCAAATAACTGGAATTTCGTCACAGGTTAAACTTCTAATACACTTTTCATTTCTTTTTCAAGAGTAATCTTGATTTAGTTAGTTAGAACCAACCTATGTTACTGCTGGATGTCAAATAGTTCTCAATATCTTTCTAGCTTTGACGGATATCTTTAATCAATTTCAGCTTCGTGAGGAGACTACAGGTGGATCACTATCGAGTTAAGTATTAAATAGTTCGAGTAAAATTTATAGAAGAGTAAGTTGGTGGTGTATTGAGATCACCAACCTTAATCTTAAAAGTGGTTAGAGCAGCCTTTAAGACAGCTAAAATCTTCTTGAAAGATTACATTTTTTAATAAATGTACAATTTTTAGATTCCGAAGGTTCTCTAATTATTCAGCGAAACGCCAACAACACACAGACGACAGGAGGCCAGTCTGAGTTAGCTAAGAAAATTTATGAGAACAAAATACGGTGGGTTATAAACAATCGTTCAAAATTGGAAAGATTCAAAATTAGCTTTACTGACAGACAGCAAAATAAGTGCTGTAGGATTTAATTTCATGAAAACGGTTTCTTGTAATATAAGAAATAAGCTTTGTTATTATAAATGCCAACATTGGATGTATTGTTTGAGGTTCATAATTTTGCAATGGGCAGGGCAATCATATATGTTCGGAACGAGATCGTGGCTTCTAGAATTCCTACACAAATTGAATTCTGTTTACTAAGCTATTACAGGAACTTTGTTAACAAATCAAATTTTATTTTGTAAAGAGACAAATGTGGAGTACAGAAACGGTACTCATATATTTCAAAAAAATTTCAAGTTTGTGAGATCTACCACTAGTTTCTTCAATCCAGTCATTTCTTTCTGCAGTATGACCAAGACATTGGGAGCAAAAAAAACCTTTCAGGGTTGCTTGCATTGAGAAGAATGATTTGTTATTAACAAGCAACTCGAATAACCAATAACGAATAGAAAAACTAGTGTTAATAGTAGTAAGGAGTTTTGATGAAGATTTAGTGTCTAAGCTATAACTTTGAGAAAATTACTTGAATATAAATATTGAAATTCCAATAATGTGTATTTAATGCTGTAAATGCCAAGAAAAGACATAACAATAGCCATAATATATGAACAGTGCGTCAGTATAATGGCTTCATCTTGTGGGGTAATTTGTAGAACAGGCATCTTATAGATGCCATACGGAGACTATATGTGAGTTCTCAAGGTCTTCACAATTAGGTTACTCAAAGTAACTCTATCACGAAAAATACATAACTACAAAACTTAAACAACAAATGGCATTTATGGTAGTTGTGACAACGATAAAATCTTCAACTAAAATCTTCACTAAAGTCAATTCTCAGTAACGCAGAAAAAGGGAGATTGAATAAAAAAAAAGGAATAATTGCTTGAATAATCGCATAGTTAAACTTCGCTCAACCCCAAAAATAGTTATCATAAGTTTTGATCTTCAAAAGACTGGAATCTAAGAACTAGTGGATTCCTTTGAAATCAAAACAATGAACACTAAACATTATTTTCTTGTGAAGCAAAAGGCTATAAGAAATCTTCTATTTGCTATTTGTGTGAATGAAACTATTGCCAAAAGGGAAGGAACAAATAGGGTGCTACTATTTGTTTGTGTACCTACTTAAGACGTAAATAATTTTTTTTATAGTAACTGTTGTCCTGGACGAAACATTTACCTATGTCTAAGGTTGATGACAATTTTAGAACAGACAAGGAGATATAATCAATAGTCACAACATTTTAGTTGCCCGCCAAACACCTGTGGCAGCAAAGATTAATCACACTAGAATAGAAAACGCATCTTATTTTGGCTGTAAACTTGGATAATCTCAATATTAAAAAACTAAGAATTCTAGCTCTTTCCTATTTGCCTTAATTGTTGCAACAATAGTGAATAATTAGCTTCAACATTTTAGGTTAAAAAACAAAAAGAAATGTATAATCATTAAATAGAAGTAAAACTAGGAAATTTAAAACCCAAGTAATAATGAGATCCTTTAGAACCTTGACTTCTCATAAAATTCTTAAACTGTCTTTTTACTTCCAACAAAAAAAAACTACTACTAAAACACAGCTCATAAAAATTTTAAATTTTTCCGGATTTTACATTGTTTCGAAAGTTCGTAATTTTATTCCAGGACACAATTTAAAACTACAGACCGAGAAAAAGATTGCTCATGAAAATGTAAACCGGATGCACCTCGGAAACAATTTGTCGTTTCGTGAGTCTGGAAATTTTACGACCCATTTCTAACAATAAAAAGTAAATTTTCTGTTGAATTTAGTATGATTTTGTGTTATTAAAGAGGCGAATTTGTTTAACAATGTTTTGAGTAAATGAAATGATGTTTAAATTAATTCTAAAGATAAATTTACTGACCTGAAAATTCTGTATTCTGTTTGAGATCTTCTAACACCTCCGGTTTAAGTTTGCTGTTCTGTTTTCCCATGACTAGAACTTTCCCTCCTCACGTCCAAAACTTTTCAATGTCGGTCCCTATTTAAAAAGTTTTAGTGGAAGAAAGAAAAAAAAATCCGGCAAATCCGTATATTATTTTCGAAATAATTTATAATAAAAAATAATCATTGTGGTTTAGAAATAAAAAATAAGAAAATGATTTTATTTATAATCTATGTTTTGCCATTAATATTCTTTTTTTTTTTGTTATTATTTTTAAGTTATAAGATTAATACTTTTTGTTGTATGTATGCATGTATTTTTTGTTTCATCCTGTTGACATTCTATGGTACAACTGCAACCTGCGCCTTCGAATGATAAACCTTATAAATGTAAACCTTACAATTAACATTCATATTTTTTTTATATGTATAATAGCGTTTCCATACATTAAGTAATTAATTTAAATTAATTGTACGTTTATATTACAATATGTGCAAGTAGAAAAATATCAATCGATAAAAAATTAAAATAAATAATCCGATAGAAACGACCTTTTCTAAATTTCTTTTTTTTTTTTCTCGTTTTTCCTTTTTTTCACAATTTTTTTTTCTAAACATTTTTTTGAAGCGTTTCCAGCAACATCCAAAATACAATAATAATTTATACGTTTATTTTTTTTTAATGGAAAACTTTATATTTTATTTTTCTTATTTTCTCTTTGTTTATGTGAAACTTACCAGAGAAACCATGTGTGCACTTTACAATATTATTACTATTATAGTTACGCAAATACATACGAATATGGAAATGGCAAAGGAGAAACGACGTTCCATTTGTAGCGGAAAACGTCAAGATATAGTTAGACTCGTATATTTTTGTGTTTTTGTCATTTTTAAAGTTATAGATTTAATAGATGGGAAGAGTTTCAAAATAAACCCATTCAAAAGAAATAAAATTGGACACGTTATATTCTTTTTAAATATAATTCGTTAGGAAATATTATAGTAGTACTCACCCTAAAAAATTTAAAAAAGAACTAAATTTAAAATAAATATTCGGACCTAAAATAAAAGGTGTCTTAAAGGATTAAGATTAGATTACAACTCTAGATTATAAGATTTATAAAGAATGAGTAAACGTTTTAAATTTAGGATTTTAGATGAATTTAAAATGAGTTTTTGAGTGTAGTTTCCATGAATTTTAAAAAGTTTTTTTTATCCCGTTACAATAAGAATTATTAACCGTTGATGTGAATAAAAAAAATCTGTTCGCTTTTTTATAAACAAACCTTTAAATAAACAAAAACAATTTCAACTCTTTACGTTTAACTGACAGCTAGTTGTTAAAGCTTTTATGATTTATTTTTTGTTATGATTTCAAAGATTTTAAATTAAACTTTTTTCTGGAAGATTTTTAAAACCCCGTTAAAACGTGGAAAAAACAGTAAAATAAAACTATTTTTAAAACATTTTCTTTTAAGATAAGACTCGTCAGAGTCAATTAGTAAATTCATATTTATTGTGATTGTCTTTTTTTTTATATTTTTTTTGGGATAATCGTTTATTGATAATCTCTTCATTATTTTCGTTTTTTTTTTTAATTTAATACTGTTATCTTAACTCTTAAACGTTTTATTTTTACTTCTTCCTGTTTGAAAACATTTCATATAAAAATATTGCGGTTATACATTTTTTCTTCATTATTCTTTCTTTTAATTATTTATCTCTCACCTTTAGTGCTAAAATGATTGTGCGTTTACATTATAAAAAATTTCATTTTACGCTCTTGACGTTGGATCAGTTTTTTTAATATTTTTATTATTTATTCGATTTTTGTGTGATGTCACAAGCTTACAGTAATCGGTTATATTTTTAATGCAAGAATTTTCTTTTCAAATCAGATTTTTAAAGGTTCATGTAATGTAAATGTTTAAAAACGAACTTAACATATTCCATATAACGTGTTTTGTCGTGTATGCGTTATATCTGCAAAAGCTAGAATGCTGTTCTTTAATCCCAGCGTGTTATGAGAGATAACATCAACAAAAGCAACCCTATTATGCAAAATTTAGATTTTGGATCCATCATTTCAAGCAGATGCTAACCTGGATATTTGCTCTTTAGATGAGACATTCCAAATTGATGATCAGAATACAAACGCACCAGTAGTCCCACAAAGTAAACATACATGCATGGGTAAAAATGAATGGGACATAGTGCACAAGAAGATAGTTTTGAATACTGGCCATGGAATTGTGCTAGGTGTTGTAGGAGGATTACAAAATCAAGAACTATTACTTAATATATCTAAATAACGACAAAATTCAGACAATGGCAATGCTATACCATTACTGGACAAAGAAGAGAAAATTGTGTGATACGATTCTTGCTAAATTGATAAACTGATATCACTTTTGTAACAATAGTATTAAGTCTTATTAAGAGAAATATCTAGGAAATCGCTTAAATGCAGAAAAGGGTATGCAGAAACTTTTGTGCAGAATTCACTTACCCAAAAGGTTATGGTCGAGGCGTAAACATTGAGTTAGCTCCGCGAACATTAACTGTTCGTGGAAAAAATAGTGCAGGAACTTCAGACGAACAAATAGATGAAGCGGAGAAATGGATTTAACCAGTCAAGTAAAGGGCGCTACGAGAAGAGAATCAAAGGACTCTTACCTTCTCATAAAGAAATGTTTGCCATCTTTTCAGCATCTCTTTCATAACTCGCTCTAACTTCCGTAGAATGTTAAAAAATACCATCTACATCCCTGAAGTATTCGTCTGCTGATCTCATATCTATCTATCTATGTTTATGAATTTGCATAGATCTGGTTTTCTTATATCTTCTCATCTTCCATTAAGTTATCTAGCTTCTAACTTTACCATTTAGTATGTTTCTACATTTGTTCCTGGATTTCGATCTGCAATACTTTTTGACCTAACTTTACTCTTAACCCTCAAAATCTATTGCATTTCTATCAACACATCGACGCTGCCAAGCCAAAATGGCGCAAACGCCAAAATGATCACTTTTGAATGTGCATCAAACAATTAAAGCGATATAACCGCAAACAAACTTCTATCGCTACAATATTGGTTTAAGGTTTGCGCAAATGTCAATTTGATTACGTCATGAAGAAGATATCTTTATGTTTTCTACCAAATCAAGGAAACTTAGATGACAAAGTATGTAGAAAAGTTACTAATTGAATGGAGACTCGTTTTATAGCCGCTCGTGTGAAATAATGCACATTTCAATAGATTTATTTCAGAAAATGTCAAACTGCTTGTGCGAATAAGCTTATTATCTGCCAAATTTTCTGCTTCCCCATAATCATTCAATCCGTCTGGCATCGTCCCGATATTAAATATGAATTCAAAGTGCAACCCAATTAGCCTTAGGCTCTTATTCTTACCACGTTCTTTTCCATTTTGCTATAAATTTTGCTTCTTCTTTCTGTTGGCTGTTTATTAATGTTCTTACTTCTCATTATATCCTTCAATATATATATATATATATATATAGCAGATCTAAAGTTGGAGTCTGAGACACGAAAAAAGTAACCAACGTGCCATTTTTCCCTATTTGGTGGTCGACTAAATATTAAATACATTATAATGTTAGTAATTGTATTTCGTACTCTTCTGAAATCGACTTGATTATCTGTTAACTTTTTTTCTATCTGGTTTTGTCTCGTTTCTAGTATCATTGGTTATACTGTATACCATGTTCTTAGAATCACCACGTATTTGTCACTCTCCACTTGTTTTGAAAACCCCTCCAACACCATATATCGTTAGAGATTTTTGTAATACCGTCAAGAATATATGAATTAGCCACTTACATGCTTCCTCTTCAACTACCTTTCCGTTTTTTAAATTTTTCTTTCTCTATCTTCAATTTGTTTTCGTTTAGTGCTAGCAAGAACTGTATTCCTATTCTTCAAGATTAAAGCTTTTGCATGCAAATTCATATTTTATTCTCTATTTTTCCCTCTTCCATTAAGCTAGCTTTACTGCTACTACCTCTCGTCTATTTTTACATTTGTACCTGGTTAATGACCCGCCTCTACTTTTAACCTTCATCAAAATCTATTCCACCGCCTGTTCGTTTACCAATACATTATCTATTGTCGAATGACTTCTTACTCCAATGGTAGTATATTCGTGCTCTGAATCTCCATCCATAGTTCCATTCAGTATATATTTTCTGCAAAACTTATTATCACCTTACCTTTTCGTTTAATAACCCAACCCAACTCAACTTCCAATATTCCTGTTGTTACTGAAGCTCAACTCTATTATTATTTGCCGTGATTAGTAAAATGAGTGATTTATAGATAAATTTGTAAACAATTCTAAGACTTTTAACCAGTATAGTTAGCTACTATCAGATATCTCCAAGAATCTCTAGCCCTCCGCTATGTACGTTACATACTGAGCAATAGTGGTTCATATGACCAGTTGTTGTTACCATAGTCCATTATTTTTGTAGCTTTTTATCCTATAATTCATTTAACGAGAAAAACAACCTAAATGTGCTTTCGGCTTTTGTTCATAGAAGAAACCAATCAAAATAGAGAAGTTTATGGAACTACACCTATACCGTAGTTGTTACAGAAAAGTTGTCAAAGAAACGAATGAAATCTCGAAACGATCTTTTCTGCAAATCTTTCTTATTTGATACATAGAGAACACAACACTAGTTCAATTTAATATTCTAGAGCTGCAATTCCACCTACGAAACCTATGGCTAAATTTGGATGCAGGAGGTGTCTTATTTCTCAAAATATTGAGTATATTATATTTCTATTTTTTTTGTGGAATAGTATTTTAATAATTTTACTTAAAAAAGTAATTCCTCCAGTTTTGGCAAACTTTACCATCGTTTCAGGTTTCTGACACACACGGACTTTGTATAGGAAATAAAAAAATAAAATTTCTCCCCTTTTCGGTTCTAGTTGTACGGAACATAACCAGAACGAACCGTATCATTTTCATATTACTAATCGATAAAGCGTTTGAAAGCGCTTCGAATTTAGTGGTGATCATCCTGAAAGCACATTCAATCATTTTCGCTCTCTACTCAATCTGTGGTTGACAAAAACCCTCTTTCTCACTATTTAATGTTCTCCTAGGATCCCATTTCGATTGTCGTAAAACATCCATTAGCGACACCTGCTGCCTTGAACTGAATAGTATTCTTAGAATAAAGCTTCGTAAAAACGATCGGCAAATCGAACCGAGTCGTCAATAGGGAATCATGTTTGATATTAATCGGGTAGAGGTAATTCCACATAGCTGGTATAATGTCAAATACCACTGTAGTAAATTATTGGTTGTGTACTGGAACCTTTATAATTCATCATCATCCTTGTGCTTTCTTGATTTGTAAGTTTTCTCTTTTCTTTTGGTTTCAGTTTTTTAAACTTCTCTATGGATAATCTTAAAAATTGCGGTGTTTAGTAATGAATTTCGTAAATTATTGATTCAATTCAGCGGTTACATCCAGAATTTCCTTATTTTAATGTTTTTTTTTCTCCCAGCTAAACATTTTTTGGTATGTCCAACTTGCGCGCAGCACAGTTGTGTTCAACAAACGCTGTGTGTTGCTGCCATGTACTCTATGTTTAGACACATCTTAAGACATATTCACCATTTAGTAAGGATTTCTGTTTCAGACATCCTTTTTTTTTTTGATAATTGGTATTTCACACATCACTTTTATAGCTATGCAGAATCAAAACGCATCGCGTTGGAAAATTGATAAAGTCCTTGATGGACTCCATACGATTAAGATGAAAAATTTAATATTATTGAAAATGTTCATTTTAGCCTGTTAATTTAATTATAAAATATAACCTAAGTGAAACAAAATCCAATTTTTGAATTAGCGGCAAACGTGCTCACTTTATAATTACTTTACTCGAAAACTATCGGACCAAAAAATTTAAATTTGAAATTTGCGAACTAACAAAACGATATTATCTCTAAAACGAATTTCATTGAGAAATTATATTTAGTGACTGCAACTAACTTTGCTGCAATCCGTTTTATCGTAAACAAAAAATGTTATTTAGTTTAAAAACTTCTTGCATTTAAAACCGGGTAGTAAACTTGTGATCTTTATTGTTCTCTTTGTTTTCTCCTTGCCATGTAGCCCTACAGAGTCTGAAAAATGCATAGAGATATGTGTGAAAAGTGGAGTTTTTCTTTAAATTCTACTACTCGAAGAGATTCTCAGTTATACACCGATGATATGCCTAAAGAATTTTTTTTTCATTGAAAAACATCGAGATATCTCAACATTTACACCATTACATGTTTATTTATGTATTAAAATTGTTATAGTAGTGAATTTTGGCTCCTAATAAGTACGCTTAATAAATTGGCGTTATTTTGATTTGTTTTTCATCTCTCTTTTTCCTCCTTTTTCTTAATTAATATAATTGTAATTAATTCTTTTTTGCGTGTCGTTTAATATGCTGCACAATTTCTCAAAGAAAAATAATTAAAAAAAGTCGTCTTTTAAAATTGTTGCGATCCACTTAAATTAATTAAAATTAGGTTAAAAATGATTTTAAATAGAATGATTATATAAATTAAATGAAATGATTAATACAGATTTTTAACTAACCTTGACTAGGACGCATCGATGCTTTTTTCTTTATTTCTTTAAATATAGCGATTATTTGAAATTACATAAACGAATTCACGTTTTTCTTTATTTTTTTAAATCCAAATTTCTTTTGTTTCAACACTTAAAAAGAAAACATGAATTTATTTATTAGTAACACCAAAAAAGTCATCCGGGCAGCCTTAAAACCTATAATACACCGTTTACATAGATATCAATTTAAAAAGTAAAATGTACCCGTGGATTGGTCATATTACAATACGTTTTTTGAAAAACGTCCTTCCGCGCTTGCGATATTTGTTGGAATTACAAAAAAAGATTAAGTTATTTAATTCGGGACGAGAACCCGAATTAAATTCGAACGGGTGAAATCTTTATTAATCTTATTAAGATTTTATTAATGTTAATAAGATTAAGGCGCTAACATCTTGGATAGTTCTTCGTCTTGCAGACATCCTTTTAAGAATTCGTCCTGTGTTAATTGGCCGTCGTTGTTCTCGTCCATTTTCGCGAAGATATTCTTTGCCCTTTCTTCTGCCGAATCTGCCGGTCTATTTGAAGAACACGCCCCCAACATATCATAAATTGCCTAAAAAAATCAAATTGAATTTTTTTGTGAACTGACACGTAGTAAAAATAAGAGATATATTTAGATTTGGATCGATCAGGCAAAACACGTTCCGTTCGGTCGGGTTTTCGTTCGCGTACAAGTCGCAACGTGTCCGTTTAAACCCATCTTCTGGCAGGTATCATTACGGGACATCGATTTTGCAATTTACGCCCACCCGTGGAGCTCATCGAACCGAAGGGGTTTAGTACGGAATGTACGTATTATTATTTTACGGTCACATTAAATCCAGTTTAGGGGGACGTAACGCAAAACCCCGTAATCTGGTCGACGAATGAGAACGAAATGGATGGATAGATGGACAGTTGGCCTTCGGGGGCTCATTAAAATCAAATTGCCAACGGGGGTATTTGAATATTTACGCAATTTCGATCTGGACAGGACGTGACTTATCCATTTATTACCCCTAGTTTATCACGTTTTGTGCGAACATAGAATCGCATCAGGACATTTCGTTAAACAAATTGGAAATGTTTCGAATCAAACAACTGTCTTTATTAACTTGAAATTTTGAATGCGACATTTTCAAATTGAAACTAAAAATTGATTCATCCAACAGTTAAAAGTCATGGTTTGAAAGAGAAATATAGGTCACATATTTGTCGTTATTCCACTATTGAAATGGACTTTTTGTTCTACGACTTCTAATTTAGGGAATTTGATTGTTTGATCAATGGAAACATTTCAAATCATCAAACTCTTCATTTTTAAAACCGAAAGCTTTTGTTAAACTGATTATAATGAAAGTTCTTTGTAAATTTTGTTTTATTATGTTACAGAATGCAAATATATATATTTGGTATCAGCTCTATCAGCTATTTGGCTCACCGTCTTCTCTCAACACATTTAGAAGTAACATTTTTGCATTATCAATGTTAAAATATCGACATTTTATACTGTAAGTTGCCATACGAAACAATTTTGTGTAAGGAATAAGGAGTCATCATTTTTATATACATTACATCAAATGGATTAGATAGACCGGAACATGAGAGTGCGGTTAAATGGCTTAAGACGCAAATAAATAGTTATAGTTGTCATAATTTTTCTGTTCATTTCTCTTGGGATGATGATGTGAAGTAGAACGCCAGTACAGGCGTTTTTCTTCATGATTTGCAGCAGAAAATGGTAAAAATGCTGGAAATAACTCAGAGCAAAGTTAATGCGATGAAGTTATGTGAAAAACATGAGAAATCAACTAATTATGACACCAACATAGAAAATATTGAGATGAGCAAAGATAACACAGAGCAATTTCAAAATTTTCATGTCACCAAGAAGCATCAAGATCGCACAAGTGAAATGCAAAGTAGGGCTATTTGTAAGCTTGATGAAGTTGTAGAAAAGCTTTAGTTCAGGTGCTACTTAATACCAGGAACCAAGGCTGATAGTGCTACAACAAAACCAGTTATTCGACGTAATAATTGTGTTAGGTTAGTCAAAAATTAAATGATTGTCCAATAAAAGAACAGGGAACTTAGTTAGCAAATATTAGCAGGATAATAGAAAATTGGATCAGAAATTGTGTAACTTATACCATAATGTGAAGAGAAAGCCAAGAAATATTGTGTTCTAAATTCAATCTGTATGCAATTGCTTGTATGTTATAGAGTTAACGTCGGAAGAATTAGCCAAGAGATCACTTCCGAAGCAATCATAGTATATAACAGCAGAATTAGGGTTGGATCCATGAGAATTCTTTTACCCAGCAGATCAGTACAAAAAAGGTGTGTTATTATGGATGGATATTGTGTTGACGACGTGTTCATTAATAATGAGAGGGATTAGCGCACATAGGTCAGCTTTGACAGAGTCAATTAAAGTGGAAAATAAGCAATAATGTTGAAGAAAAAGCATAAATAGCAGCGACTGTCAATTAATTTTCAATTACAAGCCCATTAACGATTAATTAACAATTACTGCTGGAAGCACAGAGAATGTAACTCTAAGCAGGGGAAAACCCGTAATAAGGTTGGGGTTGTCAATAGATGTCGTAGCAGACAGGAACCAAAATTATGTCACAACCAAAATTAAATTTATAATAAATATTAATAGTAACAAAGAAGTAGATGTTCAATGTAAGAATGATGTGGTGAAATTTGGATTATTGAATTTAAAAGAAGTTATCTATAAAGCTTTGAATTTTAAATTATTGTTTATTATAATTATTGAATTAGTATGGACATAAATAAATTTAACATTATTATACTTCCATATTTATACAACGACAAAAAATACAGAATGATTTGACGCGTAAGTGTGAAAACGCGTCCTCCTCCTTAACTCTAAACGCACATGAAAACATAAAACAACTAAATTGTCGAAATACAATACTTTTACATTAATAGAACTTGTAGAAATTTAACCCTGTTTGTGGAATTAATGTTTGTGGCAGATTGTTTTAAAGCCGAATCGAAAAACAAAGACGAAAAAATAGGTTTATAAACAGTAACCTCTCCTATACCTCTCCTAATGCGTTTGCTCTTTTTGTTTACATTTGTAACCTTTGCACTAATTTAAGGCAAGGGACCGACTGCGCCACGAGATACTTTCTTGTCCCTCGCCACAATTAACAGCTGTATTTTGCGAAAATCTAATTTTATTCATATACATTGAAACAACAAGCGAACAAAACGTTACATTCTAATAATACAAAGATACTTTTAAATATTTCCCCATTCACTTCAATACATTTACCTCAACCCTCTTAACAAATTGTTTGGACTAATATTTCTAAAGAACCAAATAGACATTATAATTGATAAAAATGAATAAATACACTAAAAGACGTACGAAGAATGAATGAGGCGAATGCTAGCCCAATCTCAAATCATAGAAAGAATGCTCCAAAAGTTGCTAAACAAGGTTAGGGGAAAGACAAAACATATTGATGCTTAAAGAGTACTAGTATGGGAAATCTACAAGAATTGCAAAATAATGGCAGCCGAAGAAGCTATAGGGAGGGAAACTATGATAAACAGATTATAGCTGTCTACTGAAACCTCACAATCAATTGAACACAGAAGAAAGATAGATGTATAACAGAGTATAAGATGACAAGCAGAGGAAGAAATTAAAAAAAAAGCTAAGAAAGACAAACGGCTATAGAAAATATATGATAGGGGAAGAAAAATCTTCCCAAGTACATAATTACTCTTTATACTCTTTACATGTACAATAATAAAGAAACTAACAATGAAAAGCCGTCAGATAAATATGAAACTCAAAGGAAATCATGGGAAACTTATATAACTAAGAAAGAAGTAAAAACTAGATCGATAAAATATTTTAAGATATGTACGAAACAAAACAAACGGAAGAGAAAGAAGGTGTTAATAAGTTACATTGCATGTTACTGAACAAAAACCCACTAAAGAAGAAATAAGGAACTCCCTCAAAGCTAAAAACCAACAAAGCTGCAGGAAACGATAATATTCACGCTGAACAAGCAGAGATGGAAACCACGGAGATGACTTTTATGCCCTATTGGAAAAAACATGGTACACACATTCATTATCCAAAGAATGGTCTAAGTCTAAAGGGATAAAAAAAATGCCAAAACAGGAAATCTATCAAAGTGTAACAACTGGAGACGAATCATATTAATATCATCTTAGAATCATATTTACTTACCAATATGGCAAGTAAAATGTTAATTAGATCAATACTAAAAGCGATACTAGCAGATGAACAAATCAGGCAAGAACAGTATTTTCTCTGTTGAAAAAGATATGGATATCATCATAAAATAGTGAGCCCATAAAAAAAATGTAAATACAATAAAGTTACAAATATACATATAGAAATACTTGAAATACTCCAAATGTTTTGGCAACAAAAGATAACTAATACCGAATTATTATGAAGAATAGGTATAAAAGTGGAAGCAATAATTATTGAGCGAAAATGGCAATGGATCGGGTATACCCACGAAAGGCACAAAACAATATAGAAAACAGTCCCTAACATATTCTATAAGATGAATGAGTAGACCATCCTGTACATTGTATTAACTGCATATATCGGGAAATGTGTACATAATTCAATTAGACAGGTAAATGTGAGTAAAGTGATAGTTTTTCAAAGTTGACGCATCTCCTACAATTATTTGTGTGTACCTAACCTCATGTGTACATTGAACTTAATTAATATTAAATTAATGATTAATGAGTGATCATTTTAAATTCGCTAATCGATATATCAAATTGGTAATTCATATTTGAACTAATTATTTCCAATATAGAACATATTATATGTGTTACCTTTCATAATGGAATTTATAGTATTAATAAGGTGGTGCAGCAGTATCTGTTGGACTTAGGGGTTATTCAGAGTGTTTTGTATCAAGCAGTTTCGAGTTTCTTAAGGCTGGTGATAGCAGCGTTGTATATGATATAGCATCAGTTATTCATGAGGATGAAGGTGGTATTTCGGGGTTGGGTTGAGTTTTAATTAATGATGAAGCTTTGGAAGTATGTTTGGATAAAGCTCCATTTGTTCTATTTTCAGATATCTTGAAGGAGCGTATATTACTGTATCACCACGCATATGGGAAGTTTCGTTTGAGCGATTTTCAGTATATCGACAGTTTAGAGATTGAAAAGACGAGGGGAAATTTGCGTCCTAAGGCATGTATTCAAGAGTTTGTAGTAGAGTTCTAAATGGTAGATAGTTGTGGGGAAGTTTAATTATCTGTGGTGGGTCGTTAGAATTCATTAGTTTAACCATTAGTCCTTCGATCCACACTGTATAGAAACCTTTTTCGAGAAAATAGGGCGATGTAGGAACGTAAGTTTAGGAAGTTAATGGCATCGTTTAATAGTACGAGAAATTTGCAGAGTTGTGGAATGGGGTTGAAATCCAAATTGGTGATTACGAATGGTGTTCAAACAAAGGCATTTTGAAATTGTGTAAAGTCGATTATGTTGCAGCATTTACTACAATGAATGGAACTGAAACTGCTGTCTAGAATGGAGACATGGAGATAATTAGGTAAGAGTGTAAGAGTAATTAGATTACCTATGTGACTCACGTATGATTCGGAAACTTTAGTGTAGGACTTTAGTGCAACACTAATTTAACCGGAAAAAAAGTCATGAAAATATTTTCACTTCAAACATTAAAATGTTATCAAGAAATACCAAAATTTTTTAATTTAAAAACCACATTTTGAAATAAAACTTTCTTTTTAAAAGAATACTTTCATATCTCGTTTCATAGATATTTCAGTCCATCTAAAAGCAAATCATACTTGAAAAGGGGGAAAGGTATGACTTTTCCATCGCTTTTCCACTTTTCGTAACTCGAATGTATCTGCTCGATCTGTTGGGTTGCTTTGTGCCGAATGCACGTCGTAATGCAGGAAACGCGTTTTATCTCTCTTGAAACGCAAAAACATCAACCCAACAAAGCCAGTGGAACGAGGATTTGTATGCAACAGTAAAAATAGAAATGCATTGATAAGAATCGACACGTAAAATGAATAGAAGAAAAAGTTTCTTTCTAAAGTATTTTAGATCATTAAAGTTAACTTAATAAATTATGCATAAAGTTGGGGCGTTTTGGAAAGATCGTTTCTATAACAACTTTAAACCTCAAAACTTTGTCGGGATGGGTTATTGTGGATTTGTTAACTTGATAATATAGGGGACGTGTGGTATTTTAGATTTTAACTGTAATATGGTTATTAACTGAGTTTCTGAACAGATAATGAGATGGAAGAAGTTTAAATTAAACTGGGAAATTGGAAATATTTAAAGCATGCAAAATTAACCATAGATTTTAAATTAAAGCAATGAAAGTAATAAAAAAGTCAGATCAAAATTCGTTTCATTTTAAAATGTATGCGTAACTTCACCTGCATATTTCATAAATGTTTAAAGCTTTCGGTATTCAGCAATATTGAGAGTGGGTCTGGAAAAATACAAACGTGTAAAGTATTGATCGCGCGCGCGTGAGCACGATTTCGCATGCTTCAAACATGCAAATGCGATATGAAGAAGTTGTTAAAATATGAACCCCCATATATTAAGTTTAAAAGTAGTAAATCAAGGCGCCTAAAAAATTAAAACCATTTTATAGCTTACATATTAAACTAGAGTTTATAATAACGTTTCAATGTCCGAGTTGATGCATCTACCGTTTCTAAATCACAACTAACAGCTCCAAACTACATTGTCTGTTAGACTGTTAGTACGGAGTTTGTAACTTCCTGGTTTACAGTTTCCAATTTTGTTCCCCTCTAAACGTATAAATTTCCGAGAACTCACGGTAAGCAACGAAACAATATTACGTTATTAGTTGAGTTCAAAGTTTAAAGAGGGCAAATATAATTTTTATTTTTGGGATTATTAAAGAGGGTAAAAGTTTAACCGCGATCTCAACCTGGTTCTAAATATTAAGCTAATAAAGGATTTTATTTGTAACGAATCTAAACAACTTCTCAAACGTTATAATAGTCTATTAAATTTCTATTTTTAAATTCGCTTATACAAAAAAAAGCGAAAAAAAAATCTGGACTATTTACTAAAACCGATAACACATTTATAAAACATTTTCTTTTATTATTTTAACTCACCTGAACGATTTTGGTCATCTCTTGAATATCAATAACACCATTACCATCGACGTCGTACATACGGAAGGCCCACTTAAGCTTTTCCTCTGGCGTCCCACTCGACGTAACATCGATCGCCAGCAGGAATTCCTGTTGAAAATGACTCGCTTTAATAATTAAGAAAAATACAACAAAGTAGCCTAAAGCAGCAAGCGACCTATTTAGATGGTTTACAGAAACGATTAAAACATCGACATCGCGATAATATCATTTTCAAATGCAATTTGCGTTGTTTGCGCTTGAACCATTGTAAATAAACAACGATGAAGCGAGTTTCGCAAAATTTCTAATTGGGGCGCACGGCTGTTTCTATCCAACGTTAATGAGCTTTCGCGAATGAGGCTTTGTTAAACTAGGATAAATACCGAGGGGAGCAGTAAAGAAATTGAAGAAGAACGACGAGGATTGGGTTGTTTTGATTACGACAAAGGATCTTTGGATACAAGGAGATCGGGTGTTGCTAATTAAAGGATTTCCTCTAGGAATAACAACGAATTTGAGTTAAAGAGATGGATAATTATGCTGTGAGTTGTATTTAGTTGATGTTTATTAAGAACATTTTAATTAAGATGGTAATTATTTGGAATATTATATACTTTTTATATAAAAATCACAACTGAAATAGAATGCAATTCAACAACAAAGTGGTACTTAAAAGTGGAATTTTATTTACTAGGATTGGATCATAATCGCACTTAAGCATTTTTTCTTTGAATCGTTTCATTTATTCCTTCAAGTATCAATTATAGTCTCATTATCCTTTTAAATCCTTCAATCAATCTCAAGAGTATTTGAAATTGTATACATTGGTCGTGATTTCTTTGATTATGTTACTGATTTTGCTGACCTTTACAAAGAATATATGATCATATTAATTTTAATGATTTTGATGATTTTGATGATGTTACGGAACATGATAATTGAAGGAAACGATTTAATCAACTTTTATCGCTTCTTCTACCGTTTTCATACTTAGCAATAAGATTCCGGCACGAAAACGTATGTTGGAGGATACGGAGTTACTTGTAGTAATTAAGTTAACGTGTATCTTCTAACAACGTTGTCGTGTTGCGAGATGAGAAAACGCCCTTTGAAATATTAAATATTCAAAATGACCGTAACCGTAACTATCATAGTAATGGTAAAAGTAATTTTTAAGAATTTAATAGTAGACAATAACATAAATTTAAACATATACAATTACATATTGGCATTACTGTGAACATAAAAAATAAAATTTAAATATTTATAAGCAGTAATTTAAAAAATGGTTATTTTTTAATACCTTTCAGTGTATGTGGTTGGTTTCAGTAGTTTTAAGAGGTTGTTGAGTTTACGTAGTCATAAAATTTTTAATGTGGGTAGAAAAAAATAGCTCTTGCTGGTATGTAAGTTTATGTTTGACAGAAGCAGTCATTGTAGCCAAAAAGAAAGAAAAAAAAATATGAGAAGGTTAATTGAAGCTACAGAGAGTGCTACTCTCAGAAAGAAATCACTACAGTACGCTATTCCATCAAAGTTTTTGGTAATGTAACCCAAAAAACTACTAAGTAGTAATATAGTTCTGTCATACTTTGTCATGAAAGATACTGATTTTCCTATGATGGAAAACATAATACTCTCTGTCTTCCGTTCTGTCTTCCATTCGTTATCTAGAGGAAGAGGAGCAGTTGAAAAAGTCTTCGGCATTTAATTCATAGGTCGACTTCTAGGAGTACTAGTAATGTTGTTGTCCATTTCTTTGCTTCGTATTCTGCCTATTATTACAACTTAGATAATAATGCAAGAGTAATTTTCTGAAAGTTGAAGAAGTCGTGTGATTAACTTTCAAAAATTTTAAATCAAAATCTACAAGTCCAAGCGGTATCCCGAGCTTCTCCATCCAAGGCTGTGCGACCGATTTACAAAAACCTTTCTGTCATATTTTCTACCGTATTATTAGTACAAAATATTTTCCGTTTGGAAACTAAACATAATTTGCAAAAATTTGAAATGAGATGATAAGAGAATAGAATTTTACTTAGTCACAACATGGATTCTGTAAATGCCGTTGCAATGTAAACAATTTAATAAAATTCCCACTGTACGTCCGTAACGCGCGTAAAATTAAAGACTTTGGTTGTGACTTGCTGTTGTTTTTGCTTTTTACAATTGTTGTTAATACTCTGCTAATCAGATCAAAACCACAACTTTAATGTATGTTGATGACCATAAATTGTTTAGAATAACTAAGTTATATGACGGTTAGAAATCAAACAGGTAGGTATTTGATTTGTTAAAAAGTTTTCTTTTAATGCCCATACAAACAAACATTCCGCTGATACTCTGAAAGTTGTTGGCTTTATTACTAGAAACACTTACGTGTTTACTACGTCAATTACAATAAAGACCTTCTATAAAGCTCTATATTATGCTGTTGTTTAATCCGACCCCAGTACAGGAGATTAAGATCAAATTTATCAAATGTCTATATTTCCTGTAATTCGGCCATTACCCACAGAAGGGGAAATGTAGTATCCAGCTCTTTCAACGATATTTTCAAGAGACAATATCTCTTCATGAGAGATTATTTTTGACAACATTGCGATCTCCCTTGATTAGAATGGTTAAACAAATATGAACGATATCAAAGTAACGACTTTTTGTAGAGTTTTAGATCATTTCGAAAGTAATGAAGATAGAATCGGATTTAGAAATCCTAGAGATAATTGATTGGTTTCCAAAATGTCCAAAACCTCGGAAAAATGTAACATGTTTAAATTATTAGCTGAGAGCATTAGTATTAGATTGTTTTATTTTAATCACTTGAAGAGAGAATGCTATGGTATGTTTGGAAGATTATTAAAGTCGTTTAATCTTTCAAAAAATAGATGACACAGAAGTGTATACGTAAATGAAGATGAATTATCTTCTGTAAGTATATCATCTGACAAGGATAATTCAAGAGATGTGTCAAACTGCTGCCGATGATTTAACACAGCTCTAGTATGACCTAAATTAAGGTTGAGGTTTTTTTTTGTTTGGTAGAAAGAGTCTCAAGAGCTGAGTTTATAAGGATTGAAAGTTGTTGATATTAAAGGTTTTCTGGAAGTAACGCTATCCCTATTTATTTTCACACAATATTCACCATCTCCGATTAAACCGAATTCTCCTTACCTCAACACCTGGTACAATAAATTCAACTCCCCAATCCTCCTATAATTTCCTCCGCACAATGAGTTTCTTATCATTGTATTACGCTTTAATCCAATATTCCAATAATTACACCCATTTTCTTGCTCGTTATCTTTTTCAGCGAATAACGTATGTTAGAAATCCTTAATCTGCACCAGCTTATACAATTCACGATTAATTTGTCCATTCTATCTGAAATCACACATTCAGCATCGTTCTCGATCCTTTATTCGTGATTTTCCACGTTTTCCTTTATACTCACTCATTTTCTCACTAATCTCTCAATCGTTCAATCTCTTTTCAATATCATAATCTTTCCATTCTACTCTCTTCTCCTGTTCATATATAATACTGTTGTTTTTTGTGTCACCTATTTACCATATCAACCAATCATTTACATCTGATGGAGAATTAAAATTTACGATCCTAAGATAGTATAACATATATAAGGATTTTCGGTAATGTGCCGAGCGGATCTTCGCCGCTCTGCGATATCGATTTGAGGTCACCCTACATGCCAAGTTCCATAGGAAAACACTACTCTTACCCCGATTTGTTCGAAAGCCGTTCTGTTTGTCAGGATTAAATCGAGAAAGAAATACGTTATCAGCGCTAATTCAATGTATTAAAAAAACATAAAGAGAACCATAAGAAACTGAAACCTAACCAAAATTCATTATCAAATCAAAAATTAGCGAAATAGACAATTTGATACTATAATAATTGAAAAATATTGTTAATCTTTAAACTATTTATTTTCTTCCTTTAAACTACTACTAATTTTGTCATCACTCTCATAGTTTACAGTCTAACTAAACTGTTTGAAACTCGTTGGTGAATTTTTTGGATTAAAGAAGTCGCGTTATGTGGTAAGTAGTAAACAAATATTGGTCCATGCTAATTCCGCTGCTTTAAACGATCTTACTTTCTTACCATTTCTAATTACTGTTAACTAGAATTTACGCATGTACGTTGCTTTTCAGTGTCTAAACTTCAGAGATCTTCTTCTAAAATTTTCCAGAAATAAATTTAGAGCGAAAATTATGTAAATTGTTAATGAAATAATAGCGCAGCAGTGAAATTACAACTTGCGCCATAACTATCAAACTGTCTAAAAGAATTATGCCAATTTTAAACTGCTATTGTTTCCTGTATATCTGAATGTAACAACTTTGTTCGCTATTGTGTTATTCGGCGTTTAAGTCGAACTGTCTCGATGTGTATTGGGATATTCTTACAACTGTGCTAGATGAATTTCGTCGGGAAAATGTTTGAGGTTTGGACCTAATTAGCAGTAGTTGATAAGCATGTAGTAAGGTTATGCATGTAGAATTCGCCGAGTGAATCGGTGGAAATTGTATTTTGAAGTATACAACAACTTTTGCAGTTTCTGCCGTTTAGTGTATTTGTGTTTTGTTTGTGTAGATGGTGGATTTTCGAAAACTTCATGGTTAGAAAGTGTCAATATTATTTTTCCAGATGCTGTAAGTGAAGACTGATTTAGAAGTGACGATAGTAATGTTGACAAAACGTACCAGTGTTAGAAGGAAAGTTTGAGAATTTTGAAAGCAAAAAAAGATCACGAGAAGATCTTTAGTGATGAAAACCATCTTCTACTTTCTCGTTTTTAAAATCAAATTTCTTCGTATTCCGCCACATCTGCAGCAAGTGTCTCTGACTTTTTGCGTTCTGTAACTGCTGCAGATGTACATATTCCAAGTTCTTCGCATAGAACTAAACCCTTGATGAGCTGAGGATCAAACTTGTCGACTATGTAACGACGAGTCAGAAACTGCTGAACATATACTGTGTAATTGCGTCGCCAGAGGCCGTCTAAGACACAACATTTTCCGTAAAACTCCCTTGACACCTACTGACATAAAGGTTCAAGACCTTAGAACAATACTAAGGTTCATCAAGGACCTACATTTGCCCTAAACCTTTGGAGGGCTAAAGTTACAATAGATCTTATAGGTCGCGGTAACGAGAGGGGCCGCTCCCCTCAGCCCGGCAGCAATAATAATAATAAACCCATTTCAGGATTCGTTTTGCTTGCTGAAACTAGTACAGAAACGCGGATAAACTTTTTCTAGAAACTGTTAGATTAAAAAAAGGTTACTGGAATACATTACAGAGCAAATAATCTTCTATGTTGCCCAAAATGACATAGGAACCAACTCTTTATCAGTATCTAATATCAGTACTTGGAAACAGAAGATACTGGAGCACTAATCGTAGAATTTCTCACATGGCAGACATAATGCCTTGAAAAATATGGGAGCAATTGAAAAAATATTTGCACTTTGCAGATAATTTCTAATTGCCTTTGACACCTCTGACGATTTATTCAACATCAAGATGAGGTATTGAAAAAATAAAGCAAAATATGAAATCTATCCTTGTAGAACAACATCTATCGTTGATTAGCCGTTTAAAAGAAAATGTAGCCAAGAACAGTACAATTCGAAGGAGCTAATAAATGGGGCTATAAGATATTTTGTTATTGTGGTGGAACAAGGCAACTAGATAACCTGACATTATTTCTAGTTGCAATGTAGTTATGCGCTTACCCCAGCGCATACCCGAAAATCAAAATTCTATTGTTTTACGATAATTGATTTTGCAATCCGGAGCTGCAAATTGAATTGGCTCAAAGTGGAATTCATGGTTTGGGGACGCAAATCTGGTTCCCGGTAATAATTTGCCCTGTAAAATGCACTGAAGAAAAATGAAAGAGCTATGTGGAAAAAATTACATCTCAATCAAATATAACCATTTTTTAGCACTTTTCTGTCTAAACCGTTCAAATAGTGCAGGTTGCTTTCCTGGTGATTATATTATACGTAGACTCAGTACAAGACAATAACTTGATAACTTTATCATTTAAATGGTTTTTGCTCACTATTTACCATGCTTCCTCAAATTATATTTAACATCATTTTATCTTAAAAGCACACATATTTAGACTACATCGTTAAGAAACCAATCTAACGACAAGAGAAAGATTACTAAGAGAAATGAAAATAAACCGTTTTGAAGAAGCGTTTATAAGGTTAAAAATTATCTTCTATCATTAGAAAATCTGACACAATTATTTAAGAAAATGTAAGCTTTTCAATAAAAAAATAAAACGTTTTTTTAAAATACTTTTGAGTTTGTAGGTAATAATTTTGAAACCCCAGAGAAATAGTTCTCATTATTTATAGTTAACAACGTTTTTCGATCATTTGATATACATAACTAAACATATTACCGTTTTAATGAGGAGAGATAACTTTTTCTTAATCACCAATTTTGTTTTTATCGTACCTTTTCCAAAACAAATAGTGAAAAATCTATTACTTAACGAATTTTCAGGAAAAACAGAAAATAAATACAAGAAAATATCATCTCTTCAATAAAAGAAACAACTTATTAAAATGGTTTTTTACAGAAGCACCTTAAACAAAAAAAATGTTAATGTTTTTAAGGTAAAGCATCAGTAATTGCATAGAAAAATGTAATCTTTTAAAAAAAAAATTCCAGTTTCAAAAATATCAATAATGTTGCTATCATAAAAGGAATAATTTATCAATCGAAACTCAAATTCGTTCCTTACAAAATGTAATGCATGACAGGCAATTCTTTTAAATGAACTCAATTTTATGAACCGTCAACAACAATAAACATACATACAAAAGATTCCAATTCACATAACATTTTAAACACGATATTTGATCATTGATTATCTAGATATAATTCAAGAACAGATAATATGTTTCATACATTATTTTATTCCTCAAATTAAATCGAAATTTAATTTTATTTACTAACTTTTAGTTGGCTCTTAGTGGATTTTAGGTAGTATCTGTACCGTTACAATTGCAGCAAATCCGAACTAAAATCACGACTATAAATGAAATTGAATAGAAAAAGTTAATTCAATTAATTCAGTTAAGTTATAAGATATCTATAAAATTGAATTTCAATGGTTTTAAATTTAACATTTTGCGATTCTTACTAAATACTCTAACTAACTCAAAATGTATATAGGTTGATTTTAAATGAAGGAAATTGTAAGGATGAAGTAATAATTGCTGTCTCAACGAAAGGTCGCACCGAGTAGCTACTAGGGCTCTAACGAATCATAAAATGAATTGAACTAGAAGTGCCACCGTTGGCGGAAAAACAATTACTGACTTACGAAGCGTTAATTGCATTGTCAAAGAATACCTTTTCTTTTCACATCGCTCCTTAAAAATTATATTATCTAACAATTTTCTTTACTATTCATAACATTTCCATTATTACCTATTTAATAAAAAGTGAGTCGCTGAAAGGATTTTTTTCCTTTCTAACCTCATAATTTTTCCCCATAATAAATTTTTAGTGAAATGAAAAGAAGAGGGAAAAAGTCCCACAAATTCCTAAATTTGTCGTTCCACAAAGGCGTTTCATAAAGGCCCAGGGTTGTAAACCGCGAGAGCCTTTACCTCAATATTGTGGCGCATAAATTTCTGTGAGCCTGACAGAGAAAACGGCGCGTAGCCGCCTGGAATTGTTTATTTAACACTACAAAAAGAGGGCAAGACGGGCTTTTTAGACCTCTGAATATTTACGAATGGTAGTTCTAGGTTTCTAAATATTTAAATCCTCTCTATCGATCCGTTATCAACAAATGTGATTTCGAGTTAAAACAGTTTTAAACGACAGAGCTTTATTTTCGAACTAAAAGAATAAGGAAACCTACCTTAAAATCGATATAACCATTTTTGTCCATATCGAAGGTTCTAAAAACGTGATCACAGAATTCTTCAGCGTTTCCAGATGGGAAGAACATTTTGTACATATCTACGAATTTGGCTGGTGTCAATCGACCATTTGGACAATCTTGCTGCAAATAAATGAAAAAAAAAATTACTTTTAAATTAATCTTCATTTACTAAAGAAGGTTTAAATATTGAAAACAATTAATTGGGTGAGTTCGCGGAAACGCGTAAATTTAATCGATAGAGCCGAAAGACAACTTTCCTGGAAATCCGGGTAAACTAAAACCATTATGTGTACAGAAAAGGGTAGCGGCAAATGGGAAAAAGAATAACGACCTACCGGGACACAAACCAAATATTTTTCCAGCAACGATAACGTTTTTCACGGTTGTAAGGTGAATTTACGTTTTCCACCTTTAGATTTTTACGTTTCTATAAAGCACAGCAAATATTTCTACGAATACAGAATTTTAAAACAATCTAAACACAATTTCCTTTAGAAATAAATTATAAGCAATTTTTAACACTGGTTACCTCCAAAGGTAATCTTAGTATAATAATGTTCAAGCTCATTTACACCATTTCGTGACCCAAACTCTTATTACGGTCTCGAATTCCAACCTTGATTGTTATTTCGCGAGACGTTCACAAGGGAATTTTCGCAAAAAGAAAAGGAATTATTCCATTTTGTCTCGGAACAAATTACAATTTGATTAGATTAGTGAATAACTTTGTCCCAAATCAAATTCAACGTCCATGTAACGCCCATACACAGACTTGGGCGTATAATTAAGATCTCAATCTGGTCTAGAACAATTTGTCATGAAAGCCACGACAAACGCCCTTTGTCTTGGGCGAAGGATTCATATTCCTCATCGTTGAGCTAGAGGTTTAATTACCCCGTGGTAATTATGCAAACGACGGTTTCTTAGGCGAAAATTTCCGTCTGGTAATTAACTCTAAATTTTTGTGTTTTAGTTTTGGAAGAAGTTCTTCAAATTTGTTTGCGGAGTTTTTAAAGTTTAATTTGGTTGGAAATGGAATTAAAAATGATTTTATTTGCTTCGATTAACACGTAAAATGTACTGAATTAATAAAATGGAACACCCGTTTTAGTTCGTTAAACTAAAATGAGAGCCCTAAAAAATTCATTACATTAACACTGGACAATTCTATTAATTATTTATTTGTTAAATGTGGTGAGTTTAACGTTACGGTTCCCAAGTGACTTAAAATACAAACACATCCAAATAATTTCTTCTAAAATTCGTGTTGTTTATGAAATTATAACGCTGTATTAAAATTAAATTAAAAACCAATAGTTTTTTTATTATTGTTTTAATCCTCAATTAAAACTATAAGTGATAAAGAAATAAAACGGTACACTCTCGGTTGGGGTCGTTGAATTAAAAGAGAAAATTTTCCACAGTAGACTTGGGTTTCAATTAAAACGAGAAACGCAGGCCCATTTCCCGGGGCGGTGCCTGAGCGCCGGGAAACTCTAACCCTTTTATCTTCAACCCCTGCGCGTACCCTTTTCAATATTTTCTTCGTTGCCGCATAGGGCGTCGCGACGCAGGAACTAACGCAATTAGGTCGGAGCTTTCCGTCGCAGCAACCCGCTTCGATTCGCCCATAATTTAATAACAACTCAACCCTCCCGTTTAAAAGTGAAACTTATTACCCTCACACCCACAACTTTACCATTACCCCCAGGGTATTAATTTAAAGTTACTATCGTTAACCTCATATTCTTTTATATTCAATACAAAATAAACTTCACCACAAAGATAATGTAAGTTTATAGAAAATCCGTGTCGAAGCCGTTCGTGTCGCCCAAAGGCATTCAACCTTTTGCACGTCCCACAAAACGTTTACAAACCAGGCTAATAAAGAAGCCAAGCAAAGAGTGTAAGAGGAAAGGAGAACGACATTCAGCGGTTGTTCGTGGCGGTTATGTTGGCAGCGTCGCGACGCCCCCTAAACAAAACCAACCTGGACAATTGTCGTCGTCGGCGATGGCGCGACGTGAATGGCCATCGCCATTGACACGTCCGATTCCGACAACAATACCAGCACCCCTTGCTTCATTGTCAACGCGACGCCGACGCCAAAGAGATCCGTCCTTATCTATTTTGTTGGAAAGTCGAAGCCGTCGCGACGTCAGGTTTTGATATCGAATAGACCGACGAAATTGTGTGTAGCCTAGAGGCGATGCCGTTGGATTGCTCGATTTCAGCAGGATTTATTTTTTGCTATGGTGTTGGAAATCTTCCAATCGACTTCAACCATTTAAATAAATGTTAACGGTACGAAGTAAGCGGAAATTCAATTCTAAAGTTTTAAATATTAAATTTGCGATTAAATGGTTGTGAAAATAAGATGAAGAAAACAAATAATGTTGGTGTTGTGAACACGAAATTCAAATAAGATTAATGTTTCCTATACAACTAAACAAAAATCCCTTAAGGTTGTAACGTAACTTCAATGGAGTTCCCAAGAGGAAACCAATCTAAGTGCTGTTCTATACATATAAGAAATCGAATTTTAACGTTCAGATCGCCACATATTTGAGATAACATTTTTATAATTTTTGATCTATTTTTATCAAATTATCACTTAAAGATACAACTCTATCAAAGATGGATCCGACCTCAATTAAAGGATTATGACGTACTTTATAGGCTCTACCTTATATAGGCATGTATAAAATATGTTTAAAAACAATTTTTAGAGTTTGACCTTTCTGTTCTTTAACCCTTAATAACCTGAATTATATATTTTTTAATTTTTTAAATTTTTTTTGTATAATACTATTATTTTATTGTTATATAAGGACATTTTAAATATATATTATCAAAAACTAATAAAAGTTACGAGATAATCCGCGTTGCCATATGGCAACGCTAAGAAGTTACACTGCTATTAGGATGTCAATTATTAATAAGGTTAGAGCTCAGCTTCTCCAATAATTCCAAAATATAAACAAAAATAAAAAATGACAAAACAAAGAAAATTCCATTTCAACCATTTTTTATTGATACACATTTTATTGTGATTTATGAAACTCTTCAAAACAATCTATACAGATACCAATTTTACATTTTTTACACATAGTTCTCATTATGGATTTGCAGTTTCCACCAGCACATCGCCATTTTCTGTTGTCCGGTATTTTTGCTACAAAATGATCTCTCCCATCTGATCTTACTGCTTCGGATACCCTTTGCATGATGGAACTTTTCGAGGAGGAAGGTCTCCCTGCACCTTTTGCTGCTTTTCCATATTGGCCGAGATAAGTCAGTACAATTTCTCTTCGAAATTGAAGTTGTGGAATTTCAGTACTTCCAAATTTTCGTTGCAGCGTCCATGCATTATGTATACAGATATCTATTAGCCACGTTAAAAGGGGCCAATACCATTTTTTATTACGTATGTTTATACGATATTTGGCAACATTTTCGTCCATTCTATCTGTTCCACCCATGTATTTATTATATTCTCCCAATACATAAGGTCGTGACACTTGGGCAGTTTTTTTATGTACTCGAGAGTATCGTTTGACAGTGGAAAGTGGCTCAACGCCATGGCAATTCGAAGCAATTGAGACAATAGAATTGTCTGCCCATTTTACAACAATTACTGCATCTTCTTTGCAAATTGCACTCTGATAAACTCCTCTATCATTTTTTTTGAATTCTTTATTTGAAGGTAGAATATTATTTTTAGGAATTCTATTCTCTCGTATTGTTCCCGTTGCGTGGTATCCTCTTTCTTTCAAATAACGTAATAAATTCAGGCTGGTGAATAAATTATCAAAATATAAATGATAGGGCAATAACTGCTTGTCCTTGGGTAAAGAATCCAGCATCGTGAGTAACGGAGCAGCAGCTTTCCCAAAGCATTTTTCGTATTTTTCGTTCGAAGATATGCTTTTTCCTTGATAAATTTCGAAGTCCACAAGATATCCATCTACAGTGTTCAAACACCATACTTTGTAACCAAACCTAATCGGTTTTCCATGAATGTATTGCTTGCATCCATGTTTGCCGAAATATTTCACCATACATTCATCAAATGACAAATTTTTTTCAGGAATATAGTGTTTGTGAATGTTTTTTTTTACCATATTCACCAAGGGTCGCAATTTCCACATTTTATCGTTTAAATTTGGATTGGAGTTATCACAGCAATGAAAAAATCGTAAAATTTGTTCAAATCGATTTCTTCGCATACTATTTGTTACTAGCTCATTGCCCATGTCGTTAGCTTTATCCCAATAAAATCTCTTTCCTGGCAATTTATTATATCCGCTGAGAATCAATATTGCCACGAAAACTTTAATTTCTTCTGAAGTTATTGCAGGATTTCCATAATTTATAAATTGCGCGTATTCGTTTGAAGAACTCGTTAAAAAATTAATAATTTCTTCATTGAAAAATAATTCGAAAATATCTGAAGAAGATTTGTTTGTAAAATCATGAACCTGGCTTGGAAAATTATCTTCCACTGTAGTTTCAAATTCCCCTTCGATCCATGTTCTTTTTTTATTTTCCTCCCAAACAAATTCTTCTTCTATTCGATGTGCTCTTACAACCTCTGCTTCTGATAATAATTGTCTCGCATTCAAATTATCAGCTTCACACTCAACTTCATCTCCAGAATCTTCATCCGTAAGAACAGTTGCCTCAGGTGGAGATATAAACACTGCTCTTATTGGGTTGTCGTCGTTTTCATTTCTTTCCTCAACTTCAAAAATCATATCTAATGCTTCTTTGACAGTAAATCCATCCACAAATCGAATGCCCATGCTTCTAAAATAAAAATGTTTTACAATATAACATTGAACGGGCATCATAAATGATCCAAAATGTAAATAACATGTAACAATCGTGAAAGTATTTTATTCGTTCGTTTTATTCAAAATAGCATTGGGATAACTTAGCGTTGCCGTTTGGCAACATGGAAATTTTGTCATGTTTTCTCAAAAAGTAGTGTGAAGAGAGTAAAACAAATAATGTTAATTTATAGTATGAAGTGTGTAGAATATAATACATAAGAATCAAATATTTATATTATTGCGAAATATAAAAAATAGTTACTTACCTCGCGTAATCATCCATAT